TTTGGGGGGGGGGGGGGACTCCTTTTTAATGGTTAAATAACATTTTATTAATCAAAGAGCATGTCTAATTAATTAAAATCATGAAAGCATAAAAACAACATTCCTTTATTCTTACAATAGCCTTATGATTTTTTGCTCAGAAATTCTGTGTTGTGTATTTACATTTTTAAGGCATAAAACTTTTTGTAAAACATTTAATCTATCTTTTAAGTAATGAAAATTAAACAAATTTTATTTTTTGGAAAATAAAGGTAATTTAATATTACAATTAAAACATTGAAGAAATATTGTATGATTATTCCTTAAAAATAAGGTTTTAATAATTTTAGTAGTAGTAGCAGCCTATCACGTACATTCTACTGAACAATAGTAATATATTTCTGCCGCAATGGCTTCAAGTTAAACCAAACTTTTATTTTGACGGGTTGCTGTGAATACCTTATGTTTCTGTGTGTATATGATATGAGGATAGTTTTACTCAAATGAAATGGTCAAATGGTCATGAAGTGACTCTCAGAGCAGTTCTGGAGATGTTGTTCATGTATTTATGTCCTCCTGAGTGAGACGACAGACGTTAAAATCACCGCAAGCATTACGCGCGCTTCAGTACAAGTGGTTAACAAAACCACACGTCTGCGCCATTCATTAACACAGAGACACGAAGAATTCATATTCAAATAGTCGTTTTGCGGCTTAATATTTACAAATACTAGTGGGAGTGGGAGTGTGCTCACTTGTGTGTGCGCGCACATGTGTGTGTGTGTGTGTGTGTGTGTGTGTGTGTGTGTGTGTGTGCGTGCATGCATCGAGGCGGAACATAACATAGAGACCGAAATGACATGCCGTCGTGTAAATAAGATAAATAACATACGGCTATTTAGTTTGTTTAATAAAAGGACAAAGTATAGACCTGTTCTACCGGAAAGGTAACTTTAAATGACTTCTGTTGTGATCTGGCGCTATAGAGAAACCCCCCCTAAAATAATGGCAGGGGAAACACTGGAATTGTTTCTATTTTCTATTATTCCTGTGATGCAAAGCTGAATTTTCAGCATCATTACTCCAGTC